GGCTGCGCTGTCCATGTGCGCAGCCAAATGTCAGGCGACATGCCAGCTGGATCCAAATCGCCTGCCCTCAACGCGAGCAGCGTCGTCGTCAGGCAACGGCCGCGGTTGGGGGCAGCCAAGGACATCCCGAGCCGCCTACGCACTTGGGTCATCCTGCCCTCGGAGGTGCCGTACGCCTGGTGGCCGTGCTTCTCGACATTTCCCGTGATGCAGTACTTCGAGACGAGCGCATGTCTCGTCACTTTGCCATTCATGGACTTGTGTTTCGTCTCCCTCTTGATGCGATTCTCCCTTGCCAAGTGCACATCCCCGCCCAAGCCGATCCCGAGGTAGGTGGCCTGCTTCTTCGGCTGGACAGTGTGCCCCGCGAGCTTGACCTTGCGAGCCACCCACTTGGCGCCCTGGAGCGACGAGGATACTACCACCGACTTAGAGGCAACTCGCAGCTGCTTGGTCTTGAGCTCCTCACAGGTGTCGATCACACATGCTGCAATATCATCCCTCACTGAGGCTCGAGATTCCCGAGCCGACTGCGACAGGTCATCGATCCAGATTATGTGTCCCATCTTGGGTTGGGCAACCGTGATGGTCGCCAGCACGTAGTGTGTCATCGACATGGCGAAGCGTATCCCAGCCCTGAGCCCCTGGACGACGCCCCCCTCGGGCTGGATAGCCCTGGACGTCGCGCCCAGTTGTCCCAAGATGCGGGCCGCCACGCACTGCAGCAGCCCTAAGTACAACATCTCCGGTGGAAACTTCAAAGTAAGGGCACATGAGACCAGCAGCGCCCACTCGATGGAGTCGTAGACAGACTGGATGTCGACGGGGGCCTACGCCCAGGTGGTAGGGCACCTCCTGCAACACTCAAATTAACGCCCCTCTGAGGCTAGAGTTCCCTCGGACTGCAGCGTCCCATGGTCCTTCGACATCGATCGACCATGCTCCCACGAGGGGCCCCCTAGTCAAACCCCACACGCGCTTCCCACAATGACACGAGCCCAACGATTCGATCTCCATTCGATGTTTTGGCAACATGCGCCCCACAATTAGCAAGACTTAGCCAGGCCAAACCACGTGGTATTCACATGCATGGAACAGCAACACCAGCTCCGCCAGCGCCTCGTCGGGACGGCGCTCGAAGTCCAGAGGGCTCAGCATGTTCACCCCTAGCCCTGCCTTGCCCAACATCTTGCGGAGCGCATTTCTGATGTCAGAAATAGACATATCTGGCAGGCAGCGGCTCATTGTCAGCAACTTCCGTAATGTTGCTGAAGGTTCGATGGATTTCGTCTTTGTCCAGAGCCGTCGGAGACCGCAAGTCGTGCCGCGCCCTTAGTCTCCTGGTCGATGTGATCCCGCTCGTGGCGAAGAAGTGCATCTTTGTGATCCACGTCTAGACCTGCCAAGGCTGGCTGGTTCAACGACTTGAGCACAGTTTCAATATCCCTGTCCTCGATCATCAATTCTTTGAACTCGTTGGGACTTCCACGGGATGCGCTTGGAGTTGGCCTCGAAGCTGGTGGGCACTGGGGTAGACAACCTGCCAGCCTCGCTCAAGACCTCCCGCTCAGCCCACGGGGGGTCCCGATCATCAATGAGCACCCGTTGCGCATGCTCAGGGCGATCAGCCAGATGCCGTGCACGCGCCGTGACGTAGCGCTCCGTCTGCAGGGCGCCAGTGTCCTTCACCTGATACAATACCAGTCCTCCCAGCAAAGTGTTCAGCTGGGTCCACTATCCACATATCTGATCGCGCAGATATGCTGCTCGAACACTCTGCGGCACCCTCGCGGTAGTGATTGCGAACCCAGAGCCCTCGGCTTTCGAAGGACCCTTCGGCAGGTCCACGCCATGATGGGTAGTGATTATGAGTTCGACAGCAGACGCCCAGGAGGCGTAGAGGCATGACATGGTATCAAGCCTAGCAGGCTCGAGCGGAACGGCTACGGATTGACGCAGAGCAGGAGCAAGAGGCTGAAGTGAGGCGGCTCCAGGTATAAACCCAACATCCCTACGGAGCCTAGTCCAATGGTCGGACGGGGTGGCGAACGACGGGGCCCCCCAAGAGCTTCCCCCCTCCAGCCCGAGCCCCAAAGGTCCTCCAGCCCCAGGGGAACCCATGGTCTGCGGCTGAGGATGGCCAAGAGCAGGAGCGGGAGTTCTCGGAGGCTCCACCCCAGATTGCTCGGACATTTGAGGCGCGCCATTGGGGGCCTCGCGAGACTTGTTAGGGGGCCCAGGCCGGTGTGCAACCGACCCGCGGGGAATTTTGCCACTCCCGAGATTACCTTACACGGGCAAAGCCGCCAGGAGAGAGGAGCCAGGACAGATATTGAGCTCATCCGCCCAAGGGTCCTCTTCTTCAGGGCATTCAAACCGAACGACTCAGTAACAGGCACCCCTAACCTAACGATTGAAGACTCATATGCCCGAGCTTCCTTGGCCAAAGGGCGCGCCTTGAATTGGCCCGAAAGACAGCAATACTCAAACAAGGAAGAAA